AGGCCCCTGGCCAATACCATCCCTACAGTGAAGCATGGCGGAGACTAGTCAGGATCGAGGGAAAGATGAATGCAGCAGTGTACAGAGACAACCTTGATAAAAACCTGGACCTCAGACTGGGACGACGGTTAGATGACTAAAGCCCCGTTCACACCGCCAGCGACAAAGCGACACGATCCCATTCATTTCAATGGAGCGCTGGTGACTTCCGGCGGCACGAGCTACAGTGACCGTTGGCGACAGAATGTGGGCGTGTCAAGAGATCAGAAATTCAGTAACAGCTCAGCGCTTCTGTGTTGTACGTCACACACACACACACACACACATGACCAGCGTCAGCCAATAGTGAGCCTGTGTGTGACGTACACCAGAAGCGCTGCGCTGTTACACTACGTGAACTATCTCGAGGCCCACGGAGAAGGAAATGAAGAGTTGAATAAAGTCGTTATTTTTGTTTGTTTTTTGCGCACAGAAAGTATTCTCGTCGCTTGATAAACTTAAGGTAGAGCCACTGTAGTCACTCGGACTATTTTAACGATGTCTTTCATAACTCTTGGGCCGGCCATTTTCAATCCCTTAAGAAGCCTATGGAGGAGTGATCCAGCTCTCAGATTTAATCAAAAATATCTTAATTTGTGTTCCGAAGATGAACGAAAGTCTGACGGGGTTGGAACAACATGAGGGAGAGTCATTACTGACAGAGTTTACATTTTGGGGTGAACTATCCCTTTAACATTGTGTGCCCAGTTTTTCTATAGGCTAATTTAGAAAGGCTATGCATGTCCAGGTTATGTGTCTTCTACTTAGTGTTATTTTAATTTGTTAGTAGGCCTAGATTTATGAACTGAAACATATCAGTGAAATAAATTAAACTAAATGATTGTAAAATTAAAACCTTGCCAGGACTTTATCAAGGATGTATGTCATTGTTTTAGCATTAAGAATTAAATAGGCGTACAGTAAGTTGTTAGCATTATTTTCTTTAATAAATGATGAAAACATTTCAACATAAATCATTGCAATTCAAAAATGTCACATCAATAAGGCGTTAAGCTTTGCGTAAGCATTAGGAGGTTAAGGTCATGAGACCGTGTTCAGACGACAGCTGTGTGGTCAACGCTTCAACATGTGCCTCGCGGTGCGTCGAGCATTCTGAGATCCAATTTCAGCTCTACTATCCTCATGATTTTGTTTGTAGTTTAAAAGGCTATTTTGTCATAAAATCTTCTGAAATGTTCATTTTCGGAACACTTTTTGGAGCTTCGTTATTCATTGTCTATTGTCTGTCATTTTTATTAATAGGCGTTTAGACGATAACATTGAAGCCATGCTTGTTGGTCATGTAACCCAGTGTTTCCCAACCTGTTTTCAGTCAAGGCACCTTTTGAATTTTTTTTTTTTTTCGTGGCACCCTACACTATGTTGTCACGACACTACTTTGATACTATACCTTGAAATGTATCGATTTTCAATATCACAGGGAAGAACCGCCATATATAGGCCTGGTCATATAGATATTTTTAATATTATATATTTTTTTTGTCCATCCATTTTAAGTCTAGGAAATCATTAATTTATTCTGAAGAGATCACTTTATATGACATATTTAAGTATTTTATTCATATATAAACTTTGCTCTATTACCATTGCAAATCTCACCTAAATGTTTGCTCACTCAGTGTATTTATGTTTTTATATTGGGATAATTTAATAATTTAATGTAATAATTTCAGTTAATATCCAAATTAATGTAGACACAACATAAAGACAGTATATTTAAAAAAAAAAAATTAATTGCATCTTTTTATGAATGAAGGCCAGTACACTGATACCAATACTGCTACTGATGTCTTCAATTATTTAATTTTTTATTTTTTTTAATAATTAATTATCGCCATTCAACACTACAGTATAATTGAAAGCTATCAATTTTAAAATGTATTAGGCTTTAAAAAATATAACAACTTTTAATTTAAGTGAACTTCAAACAATCTTCACACAAATAACTGTCACATTGACCTCTGCCCACCTGTCTACAGGTATAAAATACACAAAAAATTGAATAAAGTAATCAAACACTTTACAGTCTTCACTGCATAAATGAGAGTGACGCTTAGTCATAGCGGTTAATGGAGCGGCAATAATGCTGAAATTTCTTATAAACCTCCTGTAGAAGTTGGCAAAGCCCAAGAACCATTGAAGTTCCTTGACAGTTTGGGGTAAGGGCCAATCCAGAACCCCCTTAACCTTCTCTCATCCATGGCTACCCCCTCCTGGCTGATGATGTATCCCAGGAATGATGTGCTTGTTTGGTGAAACTCGCATTTCTCGGCTTTGGCGTAGAGTTGGTGTTGAATCAGACGATCCAAGACCAACCTGACCTGTTGGATGTGCTCCTCCATGGAGCTTGAGTAAATTAGAATGTCATCGATGTATACAATCACCCATTTATCCAGCATGTCCCGAAATACGTCGTTCATGAAAGCCTGGAACACTGAAGGACTGTTTAACGGGACAGAGGAAATATTCTTCCCCGAGGAGGAGAAGCGCCGGGAAGGAGGTCTATGGCACAGTCACTTGGGCGATGTTCCGGAAGTTGAGAGGCTTTCTTCTTACTGAAGGCTTCGATGAGATCTGCATAATCGGGTGGTATTTTTGGTTTTTCTTGGTCTGACATGGGTGTATCCGGACTGTGAGAGGAAACACGAGTGACTCAGGATCGACAGCGGTTTTGGCAGGTGGAGTCCCATTGAATGATCTGACCCTCCCTCCAGGAGATTTGCGGGTTGTGGTTGCTTAACCAGGGAAGACCTAGGATGACGGAGTGATGAGGGGATTGGATGACGTAGAATCTGATATTTTCCGAGTGTAGTGATCTGATGTGCAATTTGACTTCTTCAGTGATTCGGTGAATTTTTCCCTCTCCGAGGGGTCGACCATCTAGTGCCTCCACTGCCAAAGAAGAATGACAAGGATATAATTTGAGTTTGCCCTGCACAGCGAACTTGTGAGAAATTAAGTTCCCAGCAGCTCCTGAGTATCAGAGCGGTGGTACTGATACATTCATTATGAATAACTAGACAAACTGGTAGAGTGAAACTGGATGTAGTTGTGTTAGCTTTAGTACAGATACTCACTGATGGAGTGTTAGAAGAGGGACGAGTTGGGCAGGCGAACCTCAGGTGTCCGGACTGACTGCAATACATGCATAAACGGTTCTGAATCCTGCGTTCTCGTTCTTCGGGTGTGAGGTGTGTGAATCCGATTTGCATGGGCTCGTGCACGGTGGGCGTTTCCTGATGATAGTGCAGTGGGACTCGAGTTGAATGTCTGGAACGGATTAGGTTATCAACTTGGATGGCTAGATTGATGTATTCGTTCAGGTCTCTCCCCTCATCCCGGCAGGCTAACTCAGACTGGAGTTCGGCGGTTAATCCCTTCCTGAAAAGAGTTTAAGGTATCTTCTACCCAGTTGGTTTGAGCAGCGAGTGTACGGAAGGTGAGTGCATATTCAGCCGTCGTTCTTCTTCCCTGAGAGAGTTAACAGTTGTTCTCCAGCACTTCCTCCCTCAGTGTGATGTTCGAAAACGTGACGAAACTGCTGGAGGAATTCCCCGAAGGAGGAGAATGATGACCCGTCTGGTCTCCAGACCGCAGTAGCCCATTCCAATGCTCAACCCGTGAGCAGCGAGAAGACGAACGCTATCCGGCTCGCGTGAGTGGTATGGAGTGAGGGTTGCTGATCAACAAAAAGGGTGCATTGAAGCAGGAAGCCTTTGCATTTAGCTGTGTTACTATCAAATTTCTCCGGGAAAGCAAGCCGAGGATTGACTGAAGGGCTTGATGCTGATGGAGAAACATCTTGCGGTGGTGCGGTGGGAGCTGTGGAAGCGTTCCCAATCGCCGTACGCAGTTCTTGCAGACCCTGTACAAGTTTCTCAGTGAGAGGAGTCAGATGGCTCAGTTGATGATGATGCACATCAAGACGTGAGACTTGAGTCGTTAGTTCCGTGGATAACTGCATGACCGCTGCTGGATCGGGGAGTGGCGAAGTATTCTGTAATGATGTCGCAGACGCTGAGGGATCCATTTGGAGCTTTTATTAGAATGGTCAACGGGCAGGGTAAATCAACCGCAAACAGATCAACAGAGAGAACACAGAGCAGAACGAGGTCACAGGCAGAAGTCAGGGCAGGCAGTAAAAGGCAAAGTCCAATCAACAATCCGGGTCAGGGCAGGCAGAGAACGATCAGAGGTCGGGGTACACAGTCCTAGTTCAGTAATCAAAACGCTTGGAATTGAAAGCCGGGGCAATGCAATACTTCGCAGAGAAGTGGAGTGTGGAAGTGGCTTTTATGTGTGTGTGTGTGAATGAGGTGCAGGTGTGTGTGCAATCAGTGCAGTGCATGTGTGTAGCGCAATCAGTCCCAGGTAAGAGGCATGATTGGAAATTGAGTTCATGAAGGTGTTTAATATTCCGGAGACGGATCCCTCCGGTGGCGGAGAGGGAGCGGTACGGGAGCCTGCTCCGTTACACCCAGGGGTTTAAACTAAAATATATCTGTTCTATCTCCATGCAGCATATATTCTCTGGCTCTGTAACATTGCTACTGTGAGATTGTCCTGTTTTGTTGTTGCCGGTATGCCAGAGAATGAGCTCTTGAAAGCGTGCCGTGAGCATCAGCTCATTTGCATGTAAAGGGACACACACAAATGGTGTGTTTTTGCTCACCCCAAAAAATGGTAATTTTACCATGTTATAAAAACTTTAAATGCACACTCTGGGGACATCAGAGACTTGTTTTACAAGTAAAAAGGGTATGCTCTAAAAAGGTACTTATTTACTTTTTAGGTTTTTAAATTGAAACTGAAATCTTAGACAAATATATAGATAATGCAAGATTGACATCTGTATTGATTTACTATATAATTTAAAACAATATAATTTAAACATTTAAATCTTTTACTTTTCGAAAAAATTAGCTACTGTTCTTGTTTTATTTTTGTTGTTTCAGGAGAGTGGATATGGATGATCAGACTGGAGACCTGCAGCGGTATTCTCCTCAACCAATGAATGATAAACTACAGAGAATCAAAGACCGACACAAAACCAGCATGAAGAACAAGTATGAGAGATTATTTGAGGGAATGAAACTCCAAGAGAATGAAACCCTCCTGAACAGGATCTACACACAGCTCTACATCATAGAGGGAGAGAGTGAAGGAGTGAATGAAGAACATGAGGTTTTACAGATGGAGAAATCAGCCAGAACACAACACTCACAAAATGCTTCAATCTACTGCAATGATATCTTTAAAGCATCACCTGAACCTGGATGTAAGGAGAAAGACCGAATCAAGATTGTTCTTACTAAAGGCATCGCTGGAATCGGGAAAACCATCTCTGTGCAGAAGTTCATTCTGGACTGGGCCGAGGGAAAAGACAATCAGGATGTAGATTTCATGTTTGTGCTTCCATTTCGAGAGCTGAACTTGATCCGAGATCATCAGTACAGTCTTCACAGACTTCTGCTGGACTTTCATCCTGAACTTCAAGATCTGGACTCAAAGATGTATGAGGAGTGTAAAGTTGTGTTGATCTTTGATGGTCTGGATGAAAGCAGAATCACACTGATGCTTTCAGATTCTCAGGAAGATTCTGATGTGACTGAGACTTCATCAGTGGGTGTGTTGATGTCAAAGCTCATGAAAGGAGATCTGCTTCCCTCGGCTCTCATCTGGATCACCTCCAGACCAGCAGCAGCCAATCAGATCCCCTCCAAATACATCCACCGTCTGACAGAGATTCAGGGATTCAACGAGCCTCAGAAGGAGGAATATTTCAGGAAGAGAATCAGTGACGAGCATCAAGCCAGCAGAATCATCTCTCACATCAGAAGAGCAAGAAGCCTCCACATCATGTGCCACATACCCGTCTTCTGCTGGATCTCCTCCACTGTGCTCCAGAAGCTCCTGGAAGAAGATCTCAGTGCAGAAATCCCCCAAACTCTGACTGAAATGTACATCCGCTTCCTGCTGATTCAGATCAACATCAGGAATCAGAAGTATGAAGAGAGAGATCCAGAGAAACTCCTGCAGTCCAACAGAGAAGTGATTGTGAAACTTGCTGAAGTGGCTTTCCATCAGCTGATGAAGGGCAATGTGATGTTCTATGAGGAGGACCTGAGAGATAGCGGCATAGATGTCACTTACGCCTCAGTGCATTCTGGGATTTGCACTGAGATCTTTAAGGAGGAATTTGTGATTCATCAGAGGAAAGTCTACAGCTTCATTCATCTGAGTGTTCAGGAGTTTCTCGCTGCTTTCTATGTGTTTTATTGCTATTTAAAAAAAAACAATGAACCACTGGTTTTTTTTAGATTCAGAAGTGACAAATTGTATGCAGACTCTCTGTATCAGTTGCTAACATCAGCAGTAGATGAAGCCCTTGAGAGTAAGAATGGAAAGCTGGATCTGTTCCTGCGGTTTTTGCTGGGCGTCTCACTGGAGTCTAATCAGAGACTCTTAAAGGATCTACTGAAACACACAAAGAAAAGCACAGATGACATCAGTAGAACCACACAGTACATTCAACAGAAGATCAAAGATGGATATGGACTCTCCACTGAAAGGTCCATCAATCTGTTCCTCTGTTTGCTGGAAATGGATGATCAGACTCTGTCCAGAGAGATTCAGGAGTTTGTGAAATCAGACAAACACTCAGAGAAGAAACTCTCTCCGTCTCACTGCTCAACAATCTCCTACATGCTTCAGATCTCAGAGGAGGTGCTGGATGAGCTGAACCCCATGAAATACAACACGTCAGATGAGGGTAGAAGAAGACTGGTACCAGCTGCGATCAACTGCAGAAAAGCTCTGTGAGTGTGTAAATTATTTACGAATGAAGAATAATGTTTAATAATGAATCTAGGCTCCTTTCCTAAATTAGAGATTTTCTCCTAAATAACAAACTTAGGGTCTTAAAGGGGTCATGACATGTATTTGAGTCTCTCAGATTAATAATTTAAAACTTTTTTATATGTTTAGAAAAGCATTGCTACATTTTTCAATGTTTAAATATCTGAAGCACTGCAGTAGAGCTGTCCCCTAATAGTCAAGTAGGTATCGCTGCAGCCCGGAGACCTCCAACTGGGAGGGTTTCACCTCCAAGTGGGCTGGTCTTCAAAATTGAGTGGAGCTTATGCGGAAATCCCCAAGGTCTGCGAATAAAGTAGGAAGTAGCGACTTAAATAAAAAAACACCAATTAAATCATGTTTTTTTCATTGCACATTCAGTTTAATTTATTATAGCTTTGAAATTGAATGGCACTGGACATACACAATAATGACAAAGTTGCATTTTAACATGTTTTGGTATACTTTGCCATACGGTGATGTTGTATTACAACTATTACGTGTATAAAAACTGCAAATAGAATAGTCAAGCGTATGGCTGGATAATATTGAATATTACTTTTAAAATTCAACAGTATCAAGATAAAAATAAATTTAAAACGAGATATGGCTGACTTAAAGGGTTAGTTCACCCAAAAATGAAAATGATGTCATTAATGACTCACCCTCATGTCGTTCCAATCCCGTAAGACCTCCGTTCATCTTCGGAACACAGTTTAAGATATTTTAGATTTAGTCCGAGAGCTTTCTGTCCCTCCATTGAAAATGTATACACGGTATACTGTCCTTGTCCAGAAAGGAAATAAAGACATCATCAAAGTAGACCATGTGACATCAGTGGGTTAGTTAGAATGTTTTGAAGCATCGAAAATACATTTTGGTCCAAAAATAACAAAAACTATGACTTTATTAAACATTGTATTGTCTTCCGGTTCTGTCCGCAGTGACGCTAACCAGTAACCAGAGAACACGTCAGCAGCGTCTTACGTCACCTGCGTCACTGCGGACTCGTGAACGCAGAACCGGAAGAGAATACAATGTTTAATAAAGCCGTCGTTTTTGTTATTTTTGGACCAAAATGTATTTTCGATGCTTCAAAACATTCTAACTAACCCACTAATATCAAATAGACTACTTTGATGATGTACGTCTGTACTTCTGCCACTACAGTGATAGTTGACCAAACAAAAACAAAAAATTGTCTCTTCATTTACTTCACTCATGCTATCCCAGATGTGTATGACTTTATTTCACAAGTTAAAAAAATACAAAGATTTTAAGAAGTGTACTCTTAAAATAAGACTAAGGCTGCGTCCCAATACCTCCCCTTACCCTAGATTTCTGCCCTAACCCTTGTTTTTGCGCGTTCTCGTGTAGGGGTAGGGTGTCCCAATACTCCAAAGAGCAAGGGGGAGTGCTATTCTCCCCTTAAAATCAACCCTCAAAACATAGTGCGGTCCGATGCAGGCTTAAAACGAAGTGGAAGATGAAATTACCCAGGATACCTTGCGAACTCAGCGAGCCGGTCAAATTTTTCAACTAAGATGGCGGACACCGCTGGAAAGGAACAATTTTATTTTAAGTATATTTTCGCAAATACGCATGTTAAAATGTCGAAATATGTTGGAATATGTTAGTTTGATGCACATCCAATGGACTGTTGAGTTTTCAACACTAATGTTAGAAAATATTTCACGAAGCTATCTGACGATGTTCATATGATATCTGCCGAGTGCTTCAAAAGCAAATCAAATATACATCTGATCTGGGTAAGTTAGTTAATCTAATTTTATTTTCGATTTTGGCTTCCAAGGATTATAAAAAGAAGATATGTGAGGTAAAATTATTCAAAACTAGCCGCGTTCGTCTAGCGCATCCTCTTCCCTTCTCAGCGCGCTGTCATTTCTCTCTAAACCCAAACCTAACGTCAGAATCAGCACTGAGCACAATCGGTGATTGTTGTAAAGTGCAGTGTCTGCGGTTTCTAAATTGCGGGACGTTGGTGGTAAAAACAGCTACTAAAAGCACAATGATCCGCGCAAGAGACGTTGCCCCGGTTCCCATGGCGGCGCGCGCGCGTTCGGAAACGGATTGCAACTAACGTTAGACAAGCAAACTTTGGGTTTTGTGTGCGCTTCTAAACGATCAGATACAAACAAATAGATGGCAAAATTACCGGAAATGCGTCTTCTATATTCCACATGTCTTCTCTGTTGATTCATCAGATGTAGATAAACGAAAACAGCCCACACAACAGGCAACACAACAACTGGAACCGGCAATTTTATGAATGAAAATAGTAGTAGAAGTAGTAGACACTTTGACGCTGCGCGTGACGTATTGAGGATTGCCGCGCTAATTTGCATATAGTGGTGTCCCATTTCATAGGGAAAGATCTTCAACTCCACTTCCCTCGTTGAGGGGACTTTACTTTCGAGGGCACTCAAAACCAAGTGGAAGTTTTAAGGGGGGAGAAATGGGACAGGGCCTAAGAGAATTGTGACCTGAAATGTCGTTTACCTGAATGGTGACCATTTTCTTCTAGAAATCTGTGTTTGCATTCTGCAGAAGGGATAGAAAAAAAAAGAAAAAGGCCAAGCCCAAAATGGCAACGTTTATTTAAATATTATATTTTGGATGAACTATTCCTGTACTCAGTGTTTTTCTTTTTCCAACATGCAACACCCGAAGAAGAATAAACAAAGAAAATGATTGTTAGAAGTATTATTTGTGTTTTGGTAATTAAACCAAATGTTTAAACTAAATTACATTATGTGGAAATAAAACATGGATAACCATAATGAAGACATAATTGTTTTGCTACAATTAAGCATAATTCAGAGTTTTGTACTAAGGCATTTGAAAATTTACCAAAGCTATCTACAAAATGTTTAAGCAATGCTTTTGGAATACAAATATCGGTGCATTCCTAAATCATTAAACAAATAAACATAGCTATAATACATTACCTGCTTTGGGAGGATTGTGGAAACGAATTGCAAATAGAACTTGTAACACACTGCGGGTGTCCTGCTGAGAACACACTAACTGTTGTTACGAACCCCTGTTGTTAAAAATGCTCGTTGCGTAAGGGTTCAGCAACACAAAAGGAGATGCAAGGCAAAGAGCAGTTTAAAGCATTTATTATTAGACTAATGAATGACTGCACAAACTCACGTCTCTCAAGTTCTCTCTCTCCACAGGTAACACACATTTACTCTACACCAGTGGTTCTCAACCCTGTCCTGGTGTACCCCCAACACTACACGTTTTCCTTGTCTCCCTAATCAAACACACCTGATTCAACTCATCAGCTGCTCCTGCACACTCCACTTATATGCTCAGCACGAGCCATCAGAGCATTGAACCACAGGTGCGCAGGGGAGGAGCCTACACTCAGAAAGAAACACCAATTAGAAGACAAAACAAACATACACACAAAAATACACAGGCAACACCCATAAGGCTGAGGCCGTAACACTTCTCCCCCTAAAGGAAGAATCCGATTTTTTTTCTCTTTTCTTTCCTTCCTTAGAAGGGAAAAGAAAACTGATTCTGCATAAAATTACACAGAAAACTTAACCTAATCCGCGAGACAACGCATCAGCCACTACGTTGTCAGATCCTTTTTTATGACGGATCTCTAAATTATATGGCTGAACCATTAAGGCCCAACGCATCAATCGTTGGTTATGGTTGTACATTTTGCTCAGAAAAACCAGCGGATTGTGATCCGTATAAACAACGATAGGAGAAGAACTAGACCACACATAAACGTTAAAATGTTCTAAGGCTAACAACATAGCTAAAGTTTCTTTTTCAATCGTTGAATAATTCAACTGATGACGGTTAAACTTAGCTGAAAAGTACGATACTGGGTGGCCTATTTCATCAGCACCCTCCTGCAGCAAGACAGCTCCTACTCCATCCACACTAGCGTCGACCTCAAGCTGGAATGGACGAGTCACATCTGGAGCAGACAGCACAGGTGCACTGCAAAGCAGAGATTTTGCAGAACGAAATGCCTGCTGGCACTCATTAGTCCAATCAAAACAAACTTTAGGACTACACAACTTTGTTAAAGAGGTAACCATACTCGAGAAATTTTTACAAAAGCACCGGTAGTACCCAACCATCCCCAGGAATCTACGTAGTTCTCTCCTCGTAGTAGGTACTGGGTAACTGAGGACAGCAGCCACCTTTCCGTCCAATGGCCGTACCTGACCGTTTCCCACCTGCTTCCCTAAATAGGTGACAGAAGCCTTAACAAATTCACACTTTTTTAGGTTTAACGTTAAGGAAGCAGCTTCTAATCGGCGAAACACGTCATGTAAGGTCAACATGCGTTCAGCCCATGTAGACGAATAAATAACTACATCATCTAAGTAGATATTACAGTTAGGAACCTCGCCTAAGACTATGGACATTAAACGTTGAAACGTTGCTGGTGCGTTTTGCAGACCGAATGCCATACGTTTGTATTGCAGAAAAGCATCAAGGGTTACGAATGCGGAGATCTTAGAAGCGCACTCGGTTAAAGGCACCTGCCAATAACCTTTCAGAAGATCTAACTTAGTGATGTATTTCGCACCCCCAAGACTGTCAATGCAATCGTCCATCCGCGGTAACGGAAAAGCATCAGCCACAGTGACGGAATTTACCTTTCTAAAGTCAGTACAAAAACGTAAAGACCCATCAGCCTTTGGTACCAGATGGCACGGAGAGCTCCATGGACTATTACTCGGAACAGCGAAACCATTCTGCGATAAATACTTAACCTCACTTTTCATTGCTTCTCTCAGACTTATTGGGCCACGATAAGCATGTTGCTTGATTGGTAATGCACTACCGTCCTCCATGTCATGCTGGATGACATTAGTACCGGGAGGAACGTCATTGAACAAACTCGGAAAACTGTCTATCAGCTTCATTACGTCCTCTCGCTGTTCAGGCGATAGATAGGATAGTTGATCGGGAAGCGAAGATAAAACCTTAGAGTTTTCAAAACATCCTCCTCTTAAAGCTTCCATAGATACATTCAACCCATCGTCCGCAGTATCGGTAGGCAAAGCATAAGCTAGCAATGAAACACGCTCAGTTTTTAATTTAGTCACCGGTTCACAAACCAAATTCTCAGTGTTCTCTTTTGGTTCGACACGACAAAAATATGGTTTCAACATATTCACGCGACATAAACGAGTTTTTCGCCTCCGTTCTGGAGTGTGTAAGATATAATCAGTTTCATTCAACTTACTTTTTATCACGTAAGGACCGGAGAAACGCGCAGAGAGAGAAGATCCAAGAATAGGAAACAACACTAGAACTTTCTCGCCTGGCAGAAAATTACACACAACTGCTTTCCTATCGAAATGTTTTTTTAATTTTCTTTAGAAAGTGCTTCCTTCGCCACAGTACAAGCATTGTGCTTTCACGTGTACGTGATACAAAATCAAGGACGTTGGTCTTCGCAGACGAACCGTTACAGAGAAATTCCTCCTTTAACATTTTCAAAGGACCACGGACATTATGCCCGCACACAAGCTCTGACGGGCTAAACCCAAGCGAGTCCTGTCGCGCCTCACGCACCGCAAATAAAACTAATGGAACTCCATCGTCCCACTCATTCCCAGTCTCTACACAATACTTCCTCAGCACAGATTCTAATGTTTGGTGCCACCTCTCCAAAGCTCCTTGCGACTCAGGGTGATAGGCACTTGATACCACGTGAGACACCCCAAGAGCCTTTAACGAAGTACGGAAGACACGAGACACAAAATTTGAACCCTGATCGGTTTGGACAGTTTTCGGCAACCCAAAAGTTGTAAAAAAAAAAATTGTTAAAGCTTTAGTTACCGTCTTAGCCGTTATGTTCCGTAACGGGATGGCTTCTGGAAAATGTGTAGCCACGCACATGATTGTCAACAAATATTGACAACCAGACTTAGCCCGAGGAACTGGACCCACACAGTCAACTAGAACGCGCTCGAATGGTTCGCCAACTGCAGGAATAGGACAGAGAGGAGCAGGCGGTACAACCTGATTAGGTTTTCCACTGACCTGACAAATATGACATGTCTTACAGTATGTCACAACATCAGATTTTAACCCTGGCCAGAAAAAATGCTGGAGCACCCGGTTATAGGTCTTAGTTATCCCTAGGTGTCCAGACCAAGGATGGTCATGAGCCAGACTTAAAACATGTGTTCGAAATTTCTAAGGCACCACAATTTGATGCACCGCATTCCAATCTTCCCGCTGCTCAGGGTTTAACGATCTACTCCATTTACGCATGAGCAAATTATCGTTCCCGTAAAACTGGTGGTTACGCAGCGGCATTTTGTCATTTTCAACACTCGCACGACATTTTTCTAATGATAAATACTTTCGCTGAGCTTCGATCAGAATTCCGCGCAAGACGGACAAATCAGCGATAAGATCAAAGCCAACAGATTACCTTAAAGTCGTTTTAGACGAGTCTGGAGAATCGGGAAGAACATCAGTTTTCAATCTTTGAAAAGACAGAATCGCAAAGAGTATTACTTTCCTGACTGTCATGTTTCGCCTGTGCTCCCGTCACAACAGCACTAAACACATTCGGCAAATTTTTACCAAGTGCATCAGCCTGCGAATCATTACACGGGACATCAATGACCTGCACTACCGGCATTACCTTACCTCCAGCTATGTCATTTCCCATGATAAAATCCACACCTTTCACCGGTAAAGAGGGACGAACTGCAACCTCAAAGCACCCATATGCCAAATCAGAAGAAACGTATACACGATGAAGAGGAACGGGCACAAAACCCATTTCAATACCCTGCACAATCGCGCTGGTATTACACGCCGAGTCAGCACAAAACCCCAAAATATCTGATAATATAAAGGACTGAGACCCTCCGGTGTCACAGAGAATTCTTACAGGTTTTCGGCTTTCGACCTTCTCATTTAACGACACAAATCCATCGAACACGAAAGGCTGAAAACAGTTATCTGTGACGATCTGCGGCTGGAGTGCCCGCTTGAGCCTCTGGAGGGCACTCCTTCCTAGTTTATTGTTTCCTATGTTTGACCCTGGACTGATTATGGTTTATTTGTTGCACCTGTTTTAGATTGAGCGTCCCTGATTTAAGCCTGAGTTTTCCCTTTGTTCAGGGCTCAGTATTGTATGTATGTGTCTGACTGCATTACCTAGCCTTGTTCCAGTTTCCTAGTATTCCAGTGTTTCGATTTATCTGCCTGTTCCTGGTTTCCCGTTTGCCTTATCCCTGCATTGATTTGATGTTTGTTTGGACTGCTTACCTGGTCTTGAATCCCTGCCTGTTTCCCTGTACCTGTCTCTGGATTCTCCTCATAATAAAGCCTGCGTTTGGATCACCTCTGTCCTTGTGCAGTTTCATGACATCATCAGGTGTCGCTCCGCCGAGTTTGCGCTGCATGAAAGCCCAGTTGAACCAGCGCTTCGTAAAGGGTCCTACGAATCCATGCAACATGTGAATCCCGTCGTTCTAACACTTCACGTGAGCTCCGTTGTATTCCTGCCTCAAGAGTTTTCTACTGAGTCTGAGCGCGTGCCTACTGAGTCAAGTGAGTCTACTGAGTCAAGTGAGTCTACCGAGTCAGTCAAGTGAGTCTACCGAGTCAAGTGAGTCTACCGAGTCAAGTGAGTCTACCGAGTCTACTGACTCAAGCCCAGTGAAGCGCCGTCGCAGAAGGAAGAGAAGGAGGACTCGCTCGGCTCATCAGGCTCCAGTGAGCGTACCCAGACTTCTCGCCCTGCCGGCCCCGCCTCTGCGCCTCGCCCTGCCTGCGCCCTTTAAGCTCCGGGAGGCCTTTCCTGAACCCGTGGATTTCCCCAAGTATTTTTGGGGGGGGGGGGGGGGGGGCCAAGGGTCCGGTGAAGAGACCATGAAGACTGCGCCGCCATGGTCGTCTGCAGGGCTTCACCACCCTGGCCTTCGCATCATCCTGCTCCGCCCTGGCCTTCGCCTCAGTCTGCTCCGCCCTCGTCTCCGTCCGAGTCTGCTCTGTCCTGGTACCCTTCTAAGTGTACTCTGCCCTGGTCCTGTGTTATGTGTGCTCTGTTCTGTTCTCCTGTCACTTATGCTCCAGCCTGTCTTCCGGCCAAGCATCCCTGGCTACTTGCAGAGCGTGTCTTCCCGTGGTCTCGTGCCTGGCTCTGGTCTCCAGGCCCCCTGCTTCTCCACAGGCCTGGTCCTCCATACCATTCCCCGTCAACCTTCCTCCGGAGCTCTTAGGAGCGTCTGGAAGCCGCTCCTTAGAGGGGGGGTTATGTGACGATCTGCGGCTGGAGTGCCCGCTTGAGCCTCTGGAGGGCACTCCTTCCTAGTTAATTGTTTCCTATGTTTTACCCTGGACTGATTATGATTTATCTGTTGCACCTGTTTTAGATTGAGCGTCCCTGATTTAAGCCTGAGTTTTCCCTTTGTTCAGGGCTCAGTATTGTATGTATGTGTCTGACTGCATTACCTAGCCTTGTTCCAGTTTCCTAGTATTCCAGTGTTTCGATTTATCTGCCTGTTCCTGGTTTCCCGTTTGCCTTATCCCTGCATTGATTTGATGTTTGTTTGGACTGCTTACCTGGTCTTGAATCCCTGCCTGTTTCCCTGTACCTGTCTCTGGATTCTCCTCATAATAAAGCCTGCGTTTGGATCACCTCTGTCCTTGTGCAGTTTCATGACATCATCAGGTGTCACAAGAGAAATTAAGGATGGCGGGGACACAGTTTTCACTAACACCGAACCTCAAGGCTGAAAAGATGAGGAATCTTGTCGCTCTTGTTTACGTTTTAAGGTACGACACTCAGCCATAATATGTCCCATCTTATGACAGTAACCGCACTCTCGATTAGACTTCGGTCTGGTAGGAACCCATTTATTTCGCGAATCAGAAAGATTTTCATTTTCTTTTAATGAGGAACCCCCAGAGTCAGACGGACGCTTTAGAAACACAGTTTTATGCATTAATGCATACTTGTCAGCTAACACAGCAGCCTTTTGTACAGTGCTGACTTTCTGTTCGTTTAAATAGAACGCAGTACGTTCTGGAAAACAGTTCTTAAACTCTTCAATCAGCAAAAGTTCTCGCAAAGAAATTCTAAATTAACTGTGTAACTGCATTAAGACTAAATTAATAATGCAGAAGTCGCTAGGAAAATCTGTACTCTTATAACGCAATACTTTTTTGAGCACAAATTTTCAAACTGTATAGCAAACTCACCCCTTCCTTTCACCACTCAATATGACGCTATTTACGCTGAAAATCTTCTTTGTTTTTGGGAGCAAAACAAAATCTGCACTTTACCGCCACCAACTGTGAGCATGAACCAGATACAACACCCATTAAATTAACCAATCAAAGGCCTCTGGAGGTTTATCAAACCCATTTGGTGCTGACCCACCCATTTGGAGCTGGCTTCAAGTAGTCGACCAAATGTTAGTCGATGAGAAGAGGCTTGGTCAAACAAATTTTAATTGGTCTGTTAGTTGCAGAAAACCTTCACAGGAAGGAACTTATTTAATATTTTAAAAGCTCATTATTAGGGGTGAACGTTTTTGGAAAATAATCTAATTGTGTTTTTTTTTTACCAATATTGGTATTTAATATGTGATTATTATTTTTTTCACTTTATCTCTCGGGCGTAATTTCCTATGGGGACAGTGGGGACATGTCCCCCCCACTTTTCAAAATCCTGTTTGTGTCCCCCCCACTTTCAAATTCGTTTTGTTATGATTTTTAACTAAAATTAATTAAGTCATCTGTTGTTTCTGTCGTTTCATCGCCGACTGTGCCGCAACCGCGATACCTGCTCATTAGAACATTCAGTGAGCTATTTTCGCTATTTTTAGAGTGTGCACGTGACGTTCCTGGGCGCATCGACACAGGCTTGGCCCTGCTCCTCCGCGGTTGCGGCACAGTCAGCGATGAAACGCCAGAAACAACAACAGGTGACTTTAAGCTAGCGTCATATGATCCTGCTCTTATTCATGCAAATGCTTTTCAACCATTTATGCGCGACAAGACAAAAGAGAACGCGCTGCCATTGAATGTCCTCCTGATACACACACACACGACTGATACACACACCTGATTTCGTGTATGTGTGAACTCGTGAATTACTTAAAAAAAAAAGGTATAATTCAATATTTTAACTTATTGCAAAAGTGGAATAATGGATCAAAGCTTACTAATTAAGCAATTAAATAATTGACAATTAATGGTTAGATTAATTAATTATCAAAATAATCTTTTGTTGCAGCCCTACACAGCAGTACCTGAAAAAACAGCCAGGTTTGCAAGAGTAGATACAAGCAAGAGATTGTCATTGGTAACAGCACACCAGCTCCAGACAAACAATGACACTCAAAACTATCTCGTTACTATAGCCAACATTACAACTAGAGATGGGCACGAGTACTCGGACGTGACAGCGACGATCTATCAAGAAAACAATGATCGCCCTGATTTTGGAAATAGATTTGTCTATTTTGAATCTGATTGATTATTGCTGCATTTTGGTACATTCCAGACCAGCAAAATAAAGTGAAACTGAATTTGAAAGGCAGTGATGCCTGGAATTACTTTGATCATGAAATAGAGTTAACAAGATGTGCAGCGCCAATCTGTCATATTCTTAACATTAAAATAAGAACACGAGTACACGTGCACATTCGTGTCCTTTTTTGCAGATGTAAGTTGTAATAGGTATATATCTGATTAATCTATTATAGGATGCATTTGGTTGAGTTTGTTAACCCTCTAGCAAATCATTGCAGGGTGGTGTTTATTAACAGTTTCAGCCCAAATCCAATGCCCGATATTATTGACAGGACTGTCTCAAATAACCCAGTCAATAATATTGGGCATTGCATTTGCTATGTTTCTTTTTCAAAAACATTGATGCATTATAATTAGGGTTGGGTATCGGTTGGGTTTTATCCGATACCAGTACCTACTCGGTATTTTTTAAACGGTTCCGGTGCCTAAACGGTTCTTGAAACGGTACTTAAGAAAACGAAACCGCACACACTTTATCAAAAAATAATACCCTTTTATTTACAGGGCCAAACTGGACAGAATATTAACTTAAATCTTTAAACAATATAAATACAAATAATAATAAAACCAATACAAAATAAAAATTCACATTTACATAATATCAAATAAAACAATATTGTATCAAACAATGTAATAATACTGGAGATTAATAGAGATTACTAGCAGGCAGAGCTGCCAACTCTCACGCATTGACCGTGAGACTCACGCAATTGACCCTTTTCACACGCTCTCACGCATGCCACACATCCATTTTCTCACGCAGAGAAAAATCGCGGACAAAGAGGACACTGACACCGACAGAGAAGGTTACTTTTGATATGGAACAAATCCACAGCTGTCAGATTCTGTCAATATTTTTACGAGATTCACACAATAAATAACGTTTTGGCTCTTTGAAATGTGACAGGTCGTTGTAGCGCGTCAGTTCAAACGGCACGTCATACAGCAGCCTACAAATACAAATCCACTGCTTCTTAGTTACGCAGCGTTGAGTGAAGTGAACCTATGAAAGAGAACATCTCTGGTTACTGGTGTAACATATGTTCTCTCAATAGAGAACGAGACGCTGCCAAGCTCCTCGCGCTGCCGCCCAGCTTCCTTTTTCGGCAGAGAAATCTGAGGAGCAGATGGCGCGCGCGCGCCAACATAATATGACGACGTAAGTGCGTCAAGGCGTCGCCCGCGCCATCAGCCAATGAATTGGCTTGATTCTATATGGATTCAGACTATCGGCACACCCAGAGGGCGTTCTGACGCGTAATTTTACACGTGAAATGCAGCCAAACCTTGCGAGCAAGAGCGTGCATGCGAGACAGAAGAGACTGTGCGTGTGTGTGTGCGTGTGTGCCTAATTAAGTCAGGCACCGAAATCAGGCACCGAAATTGTCGTTCTTATTCGGTCTGGTTACTACCGTTTACGTCGGAACTGGCTCCTATTGGCACTGAGTTTCGGTACCCAACCCTAATTATAATCTAGCAGTGTTATTTTTTCTAGTCATATCTTAATGTTTGCATAGACATGTTTTCATGTCATATTTTTATTTGTCAACATTAATTTTCATAACAGTTTTAAAATATGTTCATTATGTTCATGACAGACACGCCCCATCCCACAAGTACGTTGAGGCCTAACAATGATAAAAATGAGAAATTGACAAAAATGCTCATGCCTAATTACAACAACAGTATATCTTCAATCTGCCAAACCAATGTCACTCACATATGGAGGAGATGCGTCTGTTTTCAAGCCTTCACACTTTGGTCTCTCCAGGGTTGGCAAGGTTTTATAATAATAATGCGGGGTTCTAAAGCTCTTATCTGATCGTAACCCTTCTTTTTCTAGTGATGTTCATTTGACCTATTGTCTTTTGTAATGTCTTTCAGTCATCTCTCTTTCTGCAGTCTTTCTTCAATTCTCCCTCTTGCTCACTCTCTCTCCTCCCCCATAATGATTGGATATGCCCCTTACTGCTGATTGGCTATAAGTGTGTTGTGGTGCTTGATCCAATCCACTTTTAATAGTGTTAATCAAAAATCACTTACTGCACCTTTAATGTACCTGAATGACATTCCTCACATTCAGAAAATAATCTTGGGATTCAGGCTGGAATGATAAAAATATTTTGTTCTAGTTTCCTAAAAAACAACTTCCTTTACATGCCTTTGTTATTTCAATACTGTTTTCATTTTAGGTTTTTTCTCTCTTTTTAGTCTTTCTAGCTGTAATCTCACTAGTCAGTGTTGTGAGAGTTTGTCATCAGCTTTACAATCCTCAAACTTGATAACACTGGACCTGAGTAACAATGACTTGCAGGATTCCGCGGTGAAACTTCTTTCTGATGGACTGAAGAGTCCTAACTGTCAACTGCAGATACTGAGGTATTAAGAACATATATGAAATCATTTTTCAGTCAAATGGTCATAATGTTGATGTGTGTTTGAAGATGATCTGACCTTTGAGGTGTGTCTTTCGCTCTCTTTTAGTCTTTCTGGCTGTAATCTCACTGGTCAGTGTTGTGAGAGTTTGTCATCAGCTTTACAATCCTCAAACTTGATAGCACTGGACCTGAGTAACAATGACTTGCAGGATTCCGCAGTGAAGCTTCTTTCTGATAGACTGAAGACTTCAAACTGTCTATTGAAGATACTGAGGTATTTAAGAACATACACTATATTGCCAAAATTATTGGGACACCCCTCCAAATCATTGAATTCAGGTGTTCCAATCACTTCCATGGCCACAGTTAGAACACTTCCATGGCCACAAGCACCTAGGCATGCAGGTGCCTCTACAAACATTTGTGAAGGAATGGGTCACTCTCAGGAGCTCAGTGAATTCAAGCGTGGAACGGTGATAGGTTTCCACCTGTGCAATAAGTCCATTCATGAAATTTCTTCACTACTAAATATTCCATAGTCAACTGTCAGTGGTATTATAAATGGTAAATGGTAAATGGACTGCATTTATATAGCGCTTTCACAGACCCAATGGCCACCAAAGCGCTTTACAATTTGCCTCACATTCACCCATTCACTCACTCATCCATACACCGACAAAGTGGAAGCTATTGTAAGAAGGTATATTTGGTGCAAAACAACTGAACACCTATGACAGTGAAATTTGTAGTTGTAGAGAATAGCCACACATGTGTATCAGTAAATTTGAAGTCACAGAGAGAAATCTTTTAAGAGTTGCAAACTTGTAGACTTTTTTTCTCTTCCACAAACACAACACAACAGTTACACCTTCTCTAATTCTTCATTGCAGTTGGATTGCAAATTAAGAAACTCATATGCTCACATTTTTGTGACAGCCCTGAGCGAGCTGTCATCATAGTCCGCCATTGTTGAAACGCTGGAGCAGAATGGCGTCTAAGCGATTGTGGTGTTCTGTTCTTGGGTGTAATAACGAACACAGCAGTCATTTTGATGTTCCTAAATCCGAACCGCTAAAGACACAGTGCCTGAGTTTTGTTTTCGAAGGGAATATTCCCCACGATCAACGTCAATGCTTTCATGTTTGCGCAAATCATTTCTCACCAGACTGCTTTATAAACGAGGGTCAGTATAAACCTGGCTTTGCTAAGAAGCTGCTTCTGAAAAAATAATCTGTAACAACTATTCGTGTTCCTGCTGCACCTCCAGAAGAAGTGAGTGTAAAGTTTTATTAACCTTTATATTAATCTTTGCAAATCGCTTGCACGCTTCACAATGAATGCGGCTAAGGATTTCACTCAGGGTATATTACGGCATGTTTTATATGTACGACGTTCTCAATATAATTCATAATTCCACGTTTATAATGAACAACGCGTTATGGTTATTGTGTTATTACAAACTGCGTACGTATACATCAGTAAACACATAGGGTTCATGTGGACACAAGCAATCTGTGTCTCTGTCTGTTATATTTACTGTTGTCTGTATTTCTATATATATTTGGGAAAGATGGCGAAAAAAATCTACAAACTGTGTGCTTCTCCTTGCCCGCGTTATTTAACGGGTGGGGATACACACAAGCTTTGTGTGATTTGTTTGGGAGTGGAGCATGTGGTTTCAGCCTTCAAGGGGGCTTTCGGAGGGGTTTATATGGGTCCGAGGGCCTTTTCTCCTTCCTTACCCGGAAGATCCAGTGCTCTCCCCCTGGTGTCGGAAGCCCGCTCTGCGGCTTCTTCCGCCCGGGGAGAGAGCCCACTAATGCTTCAGTGCTCTTCCTCTGAGGAGGTTGATGTACTAAGCATTGGAAGTGAAAGTACACACATGGGAGAAGGAGATTCGCCACCTCCTTCCCCCGCAAATGAGGAGGAGCTGGTGGAGGTGATCACTCACGCTGTGGAAAAATTACATATTGAATGGCCAGCCGAGAAAAGGGGCGCTCGTCTCAAAAGCAAATTAGACTAGCGCTTCCTTACATCTAGCACTTCACCTCCACCACGAGGCCTTCCCTTTTTCCCCAATCTTCACAGTGAGGTGTCTAGATCGTGGAATAAGCAATACTCGTCACGTCTTAGTTATCGCGAGTTATCTGTCGCCCGGTCCAGCATCATCTCTGAAGGCCTCGGCTTTGCCCACCAAGCCATTAAAAACAACATCCAATTTGGTGGGCAAAGCATATACGGCAGCAGGTCAAGCTGGAGCCTGCCTTCACACGATGGCAGTGCTTCAGGCTTATAAGGCTGAACTGCTGGGGGATATCGATAAGAGCGAGGGAGTGGGGCCCGATGAGGTTTGCGATGAGGTTCGCAAGAGCAATTGGGCGGTCTATGGCAGCCCTTGTAGCTACTGAGAGACACCTCTGGCTGAATCTTGCGGAGATCATGGAGAAGGACAGAGCTTTCCTCCTTGATGCTCCGGTTGAGCCTTCTGGTCTCTTCGGTGACGCAGTGAATTCTGTCGTTGATAGATTCCAGGAGGCCAAAAAACAGTCAGAGGCTTTTAAAAAGTTTCTCCCTCGCCGTATCATTCCCCCTGGGGCTGCTGGGCGTGAGCAGCCTTAGCCGTCTAGCTCCCCATATCGTGCGCAACAGAAAGAGAGTGTTTCGTCTCGTGCACCTCCACACAAACACTGGAAGCAGACGCAACACTCCCAGCCGAAGTCTTCTAAGTCGAAGCCAGATCTGAGGACCGTTCTTCAGGCTAAGAAGGCTTCGGCTCAAAAAAAGAGGTCCTGACGCCACTGGCATCAGACCTGTGAGGGCAGCCCCAACCGGAGTGGAGCGGTGTACACCTCATAATACGGTGCCCGTTCCATCTCGGTGTCCTCACGGGACCGTTCTGCCAACCCTGCCACCATTGGTACTTCGGGGTGCAGTGGTCTCCAGCAAGCCTTTGGTGCAGTGTCAACATGACATTGCGTTAGACTCGCACCCTCTGAGGGGAGTTCAAAAGCAGTCAGTTCAGATAGTTCCTGCCGGTATGTTTCAGGCTCCCGAACTGACTGCCTCTATAACACCAGAGGCCAGCCTCGAGAGGCTGGTTCTCTTAGTTGATTTTCTGGCAGCGTGGAAGCTACTGCCAAATATATCCCGTTGGGTCTTGCAGATTGTAGAGAGAGGATACAGAATCCAGTTCGGTTCTCGTCCTCCATGCTACAACGGGGTGTTGCTCACGTTAGTGCATCCTGAGCAGGCTCTGGTAATGGAGCAAGAGGTAAAGGCCCTGTTAGCGAATGAAGCTATAGAAAAGGTGTACTCACCCGACAGAGACTCGGGTTTTTACAGCCGTTATTTCATTGTTCCAAAAAAGGATGGAGGGTTGTGTCCCATTTTAGATCTTCGTCTGTTGAATTGTTTAGTACAGAAACTTAAGTTCAAGATGCTAACACTCAAACAGATCGTGACTCAAATCAGATCCGAGGACTGGTTTGTCACGATAGATCTGAAATACGCTTACTTCCATGTCTCCATCCTCCCTCAGCACAGGAGGTTCCTGAGGGTTTCTTTCATTCAGCCTAGTTTTATCACTCCGCACATTCACAAAGTGCGTAGATGCAGCTCTGGCCCCGCTCAGGCTGCAGGGCATACGCATTCTGAATTACATAGACGACTGGCTGATTCTAGCGGAATCAGAGCAGTTAGCGGTTCGGCACCGATGTGTCGTCCTCGCTCATATGCAAATGTTGGGGTTGAGGCTCAATGCCAAGAAGAGTGTGCTTTCTCCATTACAGAGAACCACTTTCCTTGGCGTAGTCTGGGATTCGATGCGAGCCGTTCTATCACCCGCTCGTTTAGCTGCTATCCTCAAAGCCACAAAAGAGCTAAAGCTAGGCCAGTCACGCACTGTGAATCAGTTCGAGAGACTGTTAGGCCTCATGGCAGCAACGTCCAATGTGGTACCCTTTGGCCTGCTGTACATGAGACCTTTGCAGTGGTGGCTCAGGACCAGAGGGTTCCCCCCCGAGGGGAAACCTACTTCGTATGATCAAGATCACGCGGCGGTGCCTCCGCGCCTTGGTTATATGGAGGAAACACTGGTTCTTAACCCAGGGTCTGGTGTTGGGAGCTCTTTGCCATCTAGTTGCTATCTCGACAGATGCTTCCCTCACCGGCTGGGGAGCGGTAATGGAAGGCCGCTCGGCTCAGGGTCTGTGGAGGAGTCATCATCTCTCTTGGCACCAGATCCTCCTATGGTCCCTGTGGAAGGTACTCTCCCTGAGGGCAGTGTATATTCCGGGGGACCAGAATATTGGAGCAGACGTCCTGTCGAGGCAGGAGCTGAGGCCAGGGGACTGGAGACTCCGCCCCGAGGCGGTGGAGAAAATTTGGGAGTTTTACGGCCAAGCAGAGGTGGATCTGTTTGCGTCTCAGCATACGACGCACTGTCCACTTTGGTTCTCCCTTACTCACCCAGCCCCCTGGGGCTGGATGCTATGGTGCAGACGTTGCAGAGGCTATGTCTGTACGCATTTCCCCCTGTTGCTCTGCTCCCAGGAGTTCTGGAGCGAGTCCGCCAGTACGGAATAAGCCTACTGCTAGTAGCACCACGCTGGCCGATTCGAATCTGGTTTGCGAACCTGATTCATCTCCTAGATGGTCCTCCCTTGGAGATCCCGATCAGGAGAAACCTTCTGTCTCAGGCCGGGTGTACAATATTTCACCCCCGACCAGATATTTGAAATCAGTGGGTTTGGTCTCTCAGCCGAGGTTGTTGAGACCATTCTAAGTTCCAGAGCTCCCGCTACGAGGAAACTTTATGCACTTAAATGGATTTTTTTTTCTTCGTGGTGTCACCAGCATCAGTGGGATCCAATTAACTGTTCAGTAAAAACAGTACTCGAGTTCCTGCAAGAGTGCTTTACGTCAGGTCTATGTCTTTCCGCGCTCAAGGTCTACGTGGCGGCCATTGCGGCTTTTCACGCCCTGGTGGGTGGTACATCGTTGGGTCGAGACCCCCTGATCACACGTTTCCTTCGTGGCACATTGAGGCTGAGGCCTGCAACTCGCACTAGGGTGGCAGCTTGGGACCTTGCAATAGTTCTAGAAGGCCTGTCTAGGGCTCCATTCGAGCCCTTAGAGTCGGTTTCAGAAAAATTTCTTACTCTTAAGACCATCTTTCTGCTAGCTATTTCGTCCCTCAAAAGAGTTGGAGACCTTCAGGCCCTTTCGGTTTCCCCCACTTGCCTTGAGTTTGCACCGGGGATGGTCAAGGCATTTTTATATCCAAAACAGGGATACGTCCCTAAGGTGCCGACCATGATTCCAAGGCCTATTGTCCTCCTCCTTTTAACTCTTCGGACCAGGAAAAGCTGAACTTTTTGTGTCCAGTGCAAGCACTAGACACTTATGTTCATCGGACTTCTCCGTGGAGAAAATCCGACCAGCTATTTGTTTTCTTTGGATCACCCAAGAAAGGTCTTCCTGCTTCTAAGTAGACGGCCAGTAAGTGGATAGTCGAGGCTATTTCACTTGCTTACGAGTACTCTGACCAGCCGTGTCCTTTGGCGGTCAGAGCTCACTCTACGAGGAGTATGGCGGCCTCTAGTCTCAGCCTCAGACGTCACGCCCACGGAACGTTGGCTAAACGTCTGATGCATATGGTACACTTAACTGGAAACACTTCAGGAATGTCGAAGTCGTCATCTGATTGGTTAAATTTTATCGGATTTATCGGACGTACTGTAGGGGCAGAACAATTTTCCGAAAGGATTAATAAATAAATCTAATCTAATCTAATTGATCTGAAAAACAGTAATATTGTGAAATATTTTTATCAACTGTTTTCTATTTCAATATAAAAAGTAAAGTGCCTCTAATTGAAGCCCAATTAAGAACATACATGTTTATGGAACTTTATGACTTTTAAAACATGTTGAATGAGTGTTTGTTGTGCAGCAGAATAGATCATGCATTTCAATATCAATGATCATCATTGTGTACCAGGAACACAGTGCAACACATGGTCAAAAAAAGAACATGACAAAGAGAAACATCAGTGTAGGGTGAAAAATGTTTATTAGGCCACTGATATGGTTGTGGAGTTATTTCCCAGAGATTATTGCCAGAGATGACACAGTTTTAAAGCTTCATAAGGTAAAGGATCAGAAAAGCTTAGCAATAAATCAATTAAATCGTAATAGTTCATGTATTTATTCTATATCTGCTCTTCTGTTGGAAATAAGTGTTGCTGTAATCATTCAGATGTTCTGGAATTTTTGGTTTTACAGTAAAATTTTAACCTTAAACTGTGTGATATTTTTTTGTAAATGTATATTTTGTTTGTAAAAAATGTTAATATTTTTTATTGCAGTGACATTCAACAAATTATAACAAAAGACAGTTTTAAAGCATTGCAATGTACAAAGGAAAAGCACAACAAAATTAACGAGTTGAAGTTTTTATTGATTTGCACGTTTTGTGCATTCGTCATGATTGCAGGCATTCACTTCGTGTAGGCCTATATAAACCACAGCGTTAACGCGTCTCAATGTGTTGCTTCACATATTTGCGTTTGAATAGCGCGTGCTCTCCGTGGGCGTGTCACATTACCAGATATAATCAGCTGAGAGAACGATAATGAGACGGGCTGACACGTCTCTCTTTTTATATAGATGACATAAACGGAGAATAATAATTTTAGTTTTGAATCGGATCATTTAAAAGTACAAACTCAAATGATTTAAAAGATATATTGCTTATGGCTGGGTGAATAGTATTAGCTGAGTTGTGTTGAAGATTAGAGATGTGCTCCAGAAAAAAAGTTCACGGTGACCGAGAGGCAGAACGCACACCCTGTTTATTTCTTTATTTTACAAAAGCACAATATTTTATTTCGATTGTATGTGGGCACATAAAAAAGTAGACATTTAACAGATTATTTTCTCATATTTCTTAACTCTATATGAACAGAAATGATGGTAGTACTTTAAGTCTATTTTTCTGCTATGTGAAAAAAAAACGAGCAAAACGCGCCGGCGCGTTTCTGGTCCCCAGAGGGTTAATATTATTAATATCATCATTATTGTTGATTTTATATGATGCTGAAATAAACTCCTCTCAACAGGCAAATATGAAATGTATGCATGTACGTCCCAAAAGGCAACTTTAGGTTAGTATATGGTCAGAAAAGGAAGTCAGAAAAATCCCATTCTGAAAACAAATATGCAACTGTAAGGGTTTCAAATTGATTGTCATGTCTATTTATTACATTCCCAATGTCAAATACTTGAGTCTTGAAATAGAAATTAGTGCAAGTAAACATCTTACACACACACTATCAATAAAACAGTGTGCATCTGAACAGCACAAATCAAGTACACTGGCTCTTGTAGCATCAACAAATCAAGGTTTTAAAATGTCAAATATTAGAAATATAAGAAAAGTGCAGTAACTGTAAACATCTTATGCCCTTGCACACTGAGTCCGAAATTTTCGTATTCGTGATTCGGTGGTTCTGAATTGTCAAAACACCTCTTAAACTGCTTGCTACGGATGCGAAAAACGCAGAAAATCGAACTCAGTGGCAGTGTGCAAGCGTGATTGACATAACGTGAGGTCGTATTTATTTTTAACGTATTCGAATTTCGGACTCAGTGTGCAAGGGCCTTAACACACACACACACACACTCTATCAATAAAACGGCTTCCGTTGTCTTTCTGCCCCCTGGCTAAAAAATCCTTGTGCTCTTTAACGTGGTGCTTTTTTAAATGTTTGATTGCGTTCGTTGTGTTGACCGACGCGAGGGAGCTTCCGCCTCTCTGAATTACGGCTTTGCAAACATTGCATTTTGCTGTCTTGCTCCGGTGTTTCCAGTGTGACACATTTCCACACAGCGGACATAATGCTGCTCAATGCTTTCCTGCTAGCTGGCTGCAAACTGCGGAATGGATTTCCTGAGCGGAGGCGTGTGTCTAATTGAGCCGCGCCTCCATTCAAGAAATTCATTCCACAGTTTGCAGCCAGCTAGCAGACTAGCCGGCGGGAATCACTTTTGGAGTCATTTCACCAGACAACGTTAAAGCGCAGACATGGCTCATGGATATCGGATATCTCCGCAGGTTGGATCGGGAAAATCCGATACGTGAATTACGCTGGTATCGGTCCCGATACAGGATCGGATCGGCCCCATCCCTAATAAAAACATTACGAACTTTGCGAAACGATACACAATTCTAGTTTAAGTTTGCGCTGAAACTATATTTACCTTCTTGGAAATAATCCATTAAACCTGCTGAGAAATGAGGAGCGAACTAAAATGAGCAGTTCCACGCGCATGCTCGGGAAACTCATGAATATTCATGTAGGCCCACTGCCTCTACAGATGCACAACTCACTTTTGCTCCACATTTGCAAAAGGGAGAGCGCACGAAACTTGTCACCTGAAAGCGAAAAACAGTGTTTGGGATTCAAGCAGCAGATTCAAGCAGCTGTAGTTATGTACTTGTGTTTGTGCTAAAAAAAATGTACAAGATATTTGTGAGAAAATATTCTACAAGTGTGCAATTCAAATTCTGATTTGCGGATGAGCAAAATTTCTCTGTGACTTCACATTTTATGATGCGGGTGTGTAAATGCATTTTGCACCATATTCACTGCAGCAACTGTGGCAAAAATGTGAGCATACGAGTTTCTTAATTTGTGATTTGTAGAATAGGATTTGTCCACCTGCAATGAAGAATTAGAGAAGGTGTAACTGTTGTGTTGTGTTTGTGGAAGAGAAAAAAAGTCTACAAGTTTGCAACTCTTAAAAGATTTCTCTCTGTGACTTCAAATTTACTGATACACATGTGTGGCTATTCTCTACAACTACAAATTTCACTGTCACAGGCGTTCAGTTGTTTTGCACAAAATATACCTTCATACAATTGGGAACAACAGCAACTCAGCCACAAAGTGGTAGGCCACATAAAATCACAGAGTGGGATCATTCAGTGGAGGGGGGATTTGGGTGTGGGGTTGTTTTTCAGGGGTTGGGCTTGGCCCCTAAGTTCCAGTGAAAGGGGATTAAGAATGACTTTTACCAATATAGTGTATATAATGTAATTCACAGTCAGATGATCTGACTGTTGATGTATTTTCTGCTCTCTTTTAGTCTTGCTGGCTGTAATCTTACTGTTCAGTGTTGTGAGAATTTGTCATCAGCTCTTCAATCCTCAAACTTTTCCCTGAGAGAGCTGGACCTGAGTAAGAATGACCTGCAGGATTCAGGGGTGAAGCTGCTCTCTGATAGACTGAAGTATCCAACCTGTCAGCTGCAGAAACTGAGGTAATTTAGGGAGATTTTAACTGGACTTTGTGTGTTGAAAATAAAAGCATACAAATACAGAGCGAATGTTTACTTTCACTATAAAGCTCATTACTTAGATCAAATTCACATTTCATTTTATTTGTCCTGTGTAACACTGAATGTATGACACACAAACAGCAATCTAAAATATTGAAATTAATGTGTTTATGCATTTATTATTTTAAATGGAAATATTTATTTCATAAGACATAACATTTTCATTCAGTTCTGTGTGATTTTCCAGACACTGAACTGATTTGAGGTCACACTCACTGGGGGTGTGGGATATTGACAAAAATTATAGTAGTTAACATTTGAACAAGTGGATCAAAAAAGTTCTTCAAAGTTGTCCTAAGAAAAGGATGGGTATTGTTCAAAATTCATGTATAACTTTGATGAAAGGTTTTGATGCACTTTAAATGTTGACTACTGTATTTTCTGGCATTTTGTTGAGGAATGAGAAATATATTATATTTTGTTTGTGTTTATATTTGATATTTAGTGTGTTTTTGGGCTGGTACCTTGGCTGGTTTAGGCCTGTCATGGAGAACTGACTTTCAAATATTTTCATTTTCTTCATTTTCAGTGCAATGGTTACTTTTTCATTAAAGGGATAGTTCACCCAAAAACGAAACCCCGTTTTAGTTCACCCAAAAACATGCTGTACCAACCCCGTAAGACCTTCGTTCATCTTCGGAAGACAAATTAAGATATTTTTGATTAAATCTGAGAGGTGGATCACTCCTCCATAGGCTTCCAAAGGGAGTGAAACTTGACGGCCCAGAAAGTCATTGAAGAAAATATTTAAATATTTCATGTGCTTACAGTGGCTCCACTATAAGTTTATCAAGAGACGAGAATACTTTTTGTGCGGAAAAAACAACAAAAATAACGACTTTATTCGACTATTCCATTGCTTCCTTGTGGGCCTGAGACGAGAGTTCAAGAGATTTCCAGGACGCATGCCCGAGAACTGACGTTCTTCTTCTAAAGTATTCTCGTCGCTTGATAAACTTATAGTGGAGCCACTGTAGGCACATGAAATATTTAAACATTTTCTTCAATGACTTTCTGAGCCGTCAAGTTTCACTCCCTTTGGAAGCCTATGAAGGAGTGATCCACCTCTCAGATTTAATAAAAAATATCTTAATTTGTGTTCCGAAGATGAACAAAGGTCTTACGGGGTTGGTACAGCATGAGGGTGAGTAATTAATCACTTCATTTTCATTTTTGGGTGAACTATCCCTTTAAGGGACAATATTCGCCCCCTTAAATAGATTACCAGGTTGAAAAACTCAATCGGTACATGGTTCACGATACAATATATCACGATTTATGGCAATATGATACATATTGGGATATATTGCATTACTTTTTTTTAATCAAAAATATTTTTTAAAAATTGTTCTGAGAATACAACTTGCTGTGTACAACCTGGGGTATTCTGGTATATGTATCGCATATTGATAACTCAGCAGACAAATAAAAACTGATCAATGAACACACTGAAATTTATGAATTGCATATTGTGACACTGAACACTTTTAACTAAAAATGTAGATGCCACAAATCATATAAAAATGAAGTAACAAAATGTATAAAACTGAAATAGTATGTTGTAAATAGATTAATTAAAATATACAACAAAATATCTGAGTTCCCTTTCGAGGGAACTCACACTGCGTCGTTGAAAACGACTCTTTGGGGACGCTCCCTTAGCGTGCGCCTCTTAAGTATGAATGAAACTAATCCAATCCTGATTGGTGTTGCGTCATGACGTAACATGTGACGGGCCGGCACATAAAAGTGAAGCCGGCATACACACACACTAGCTTTCGCTCTTCAGCAAGCGCTCTCTGTGAAACTGTCTGTCTTATTTGGTGTTGTTTTGTCTGTGCAAAGCTCTATATTATGGCGAGTGAACAATACACTAAGTGTGTGCACCCCTGCCCTAGATATCTCACGAGTGGGGACACGCATCAGTTGTGTGTGTATTGTTTGTGTGTGTATTGGCGCAGCACGCACAGACAGCTCTCGAGAGGGCTGCCTGTGAACACTGTGAAGCATTTCCTATTAGAGTGTTGCGCTCCCGCTTGGCTATATTATTTTCTGATGATGGCCAGGCTCGCGATCCCCGCGTTTCGGGTCCCGCGTCCGTTGAGGCGGCGCGGCGGCTTAGATCGTGGGTATCGCAGATGGATCTCGCAGATGAGAACGAGACTGCTGAGGCACTTTTTCGTTCATCATCCGCAGATTCTATGACACTCGTTCACGACGCAGAAGCCCGCGATGCGGCTTCTTCTGCCCGTGACGAGTGCCCGGTGCTCGAGCTATCTGTTTCTGAGGAAGTAGATGTGCTCAGCATAGGGAACGAGCAACATGAGTCACACTCGCCGGCTCATGTTTCTGCTCATGTGGCCAGACTTAAAAATAAATATATATATATATATATATATATATATATATATATATATATATATATATATATATATATATATATATATATATATATATATATGTATATCAGCTGGCCACAAAATAAGCAGCTAGCTTATTTACAAAATAAGCAAGCTAGACGCGAGATTCCTGCATTACCGTTTACAACCTCAGCGCCAGGGCTTTCCGTTTTTTCACAGATCTTCTTAAAGAGATCTCTAGATCCTGGGAAAAATCCCACTCTTTACGTATCTCATCACATTCATTATATGATTATTCGAATGTGGTGGGTGTGAGAGAGGCGGGTTATGGCAAGATGCCGCAGATGGAGGAAGCTTTAGCGAGCTATCTTTCTCTTGATGCGGCATCTTCGCTTAAAGCCTGCACTGGTTGGCCGGGCTTATATGGCGGCTGGTCAGGCTGGTGCATGCCTGCAGTCTATGACGATTTTGCAGGCGTACTAGGCCGATCTTCTTAAAGATCTAAATGAGGGAGAGGGACCAACTCCTGCTGACTTCGCGGAGTTGAGAAGAGCCACAGATTTGTCTCTCCGGGCCACTAAGGAGACGGCACGTGCCATTGGCCGCTCTATGTCAACTATGGTGGCTACGGAGAGACATCTGTGTCTAAATTTGTCCGGTATAAAGAGAAAGACAAATATTTTCGGTTGGACTCTCCGCTATCATCTTCTGGCCTGTTCTCCGACGCTGTCACTACAGTTGTCGACAGGTTTCAGGAAGGGGAAAAAACAGTCAGCGGCGTTCCAACAGTATCTCCCTCGCCGCTCTAAATTTGGATCTAGGAGGGCTGGTCCAAGTGGCCAGCCTCAGCCGTCAACCAGCTCCTCCCATCGGCAAGAGCAAAAAGAGAGCGTTGCCTCTAGAGCCCCTCCTGCGGGAGCCTGGCAACAGAAGAAGCGTTCTCAACCGAAGTCCTCCAGCCAGAAGGGTGACCTGAGGGCCATCCTTTAGGCAAAGAGGGCTTCGGGAAAGAGGTCCTAAATGTAATGTAGGACCTCTGAGGGCTCTCAAGCTCCATGTTGCACTTAAGCTACACAAAACAGCCCAGTGTGCGTGCGGGTGGAGGAGAAGCTGCGCGTGACGTGCTTGATCAAGGGTCGGGCTCGGACTCGGGTAGAGCAGTGGTTCCCAAACCTGTCCTGGCAACCCACCAACACTGCACGTTTTCTTTGTCTCCCTAATCAAACACACCTGATTCAACTCATCAGCTCATGAGCTAATGAGTTGAATCAGGTGTGTTTGATTAGGGAGACAAAGAAAACGTGCAGTGTTGGTGGGTCGCCAGGACAGGTTTGGGAACCACTGGGGTAGAGAATCTAAGCTCTAGAATCCGTTCCGTATAATAAAGGTTACGCGCAGATGCCTTCGTTCCCTATTAATATGGAAGAAACCTTGGTTCTTGTCCCAAGGGCCAGTGTTAGGGGCATCATGTCGCCGGAAAACCGTTTCGACAGACGCTTCCCTTACTGGCTGGGACGCGGTCATGGACGGCCGCTTTGCCAGGGGTCTGTGGCAGGACCATCATCATTCTTGGCATATAAATTGCCTAGAGATGTTGGCTGTGTTCAGGGCTCTGAGGAGCTTCCTCCCAGACATCAAGGGTTACCACATCTTGATATGTTCGGACAATACATCAGTGGTAGCTTATCTGAACCGACAAGGGGGACTCAGATCGCGCCCTCTATCCAGATTGGGGCATCATATTATTTTATGGTCCTAAGTGAAAATATTATCTATAAGAGCAATATATGTCCCGGGGGTTCAGAATCAGGGAGCAGACATCCTGTCGAGGCAGGGGCTGAGGCCCGGGGAATGAAGACTCCATCCAGAGGTGGTGGAGTTGATATGGCAGAGGTTTGGACCAATGGAAGTGGATCTGTTCGTGTCTCGAGGGACGTCCCACTGTCCACTTTGGTTCTCCCTCACTCATCCAGCCCCGCTGGGTTGGATGCCATGGTACAGGCTTGGCCGAGACTTCACTTGTACGCGTTTCCCCCGATCGCTCTGCTCCCGGGAGTCCTGGAGAGGATCCGTCAGGAGGGCATCAGTCTTCTTCTGGTAGCCCTGTTTTGGCCGGCCCGAGTATGGTTTTCGGACTTAATTTCACTCCTGAGAGCTCCGCCATGGCAGATTCCTCTGAGGAGGGATCTGTTGTCTCAGACGGAGGGCACTATATTCCATCCTCGTCCGGAGCTGTGGAAATTGTGGGTCTGGCCTCTGAGGGGGCTCAGTACCTAGATGCTGGTCTATCATCTGGGGTGGTCGAAACCATACTTATCTCTAGGGTTCCGTCTACTAGGAGATTATATGGCCTCAAGTAGAATGTTTTTGCACTTGGTGTAAAGAACTTGAGTTAGGCCCAGTTAACTGCCCAATGGCTTCAGTTCTGGAGTTTCTTCAAAATCGTTTCTCTGCGAATCTCTCCCCATCCACACGTAGGGTGTACGTGGCTGCCATTGCGGCGTTCCATGCACCACTAAATGTTGGGCCTTTGGGGTGGCACCAACTGGTCATACTATTTCT